CGCCTCGCGCGCGACCCTGTGGCGACGCAGCAGTGTGCGTACCGCCGCCACGCACCGCCCTGCGCCCAATGACTTCCTGAAAGCCTCGTGATCGGACAGATTAATTATGGGTGTTCACGGCCAGCGGTGTAAACACGCATGAAAATCACAGGCCATCAGGTGGAGCGGCACCTGAAGCACCGATCGCCGGCGGGCGTCCCTGAACGGCACACTGGCGGCGGCGGCCGGAGCGAGGGCCGGGACCTAGCCCAGATAGCCTCGATGGCCGGAACGAGGGCCGGGACCCAGCACACACTGCCCCGGCGGCTGGAGCGAGGCCCGGGACCCAGCCCATACAGCACGGCCGCCGGAGCATCCGGGACCCAGCCCACACAGCCCCGGCGGCCGGAGCGAGGCCCGGGACCCAGCCCATACAGCACGGCGGCCGGAGCGCCGTCCGGGACACAGCCCACACAGCACGGTGGCCGGAGCGCCGTCCGGGGCCCAGTCCATACAGTACGGCCGCCGGAGCGTCCGGGACCCAGCCCGCACAGCCCCGGCGGCCGGAACGAGGCCTGAGATCCAGCCAACACAGCCCCATTATTGGTGGAAATTTAGCCGCATGCACATATTTCGATTCGTTGTGTCTGCTTGCAAACGAAAAGTTGGTTTTTGCCGTTGGTACTTTGTAGGTGGCAATTGCATTTAACAAATAACATTTTCTGAGCATTCTTCGGTCTCGACATTGCCTGGCGCGTCGGCACTGAGGCGGCCAGGATCGAGATTGGCCAGCGCTGGCTTGGGCCCGACCAGCGCCACCAGGCGGCGTCAGCTAACCTGTGCCATCGGCGCAGTTGGCGGCGGACAGAGGCCTTCTCGACACGGCCGGCCAAGACTGGGCTATGAAGGATGTTGCTTCGGGCAGAGCCAGCAGCCTTCGGTGGACAGAGGCCTCCTCGACACGGCCGGCCAAGGCAGGGCCATGAAAGACGCTGCTGCGGGCAGAGCCAGCAGCCTTCGGTGGACAGAGGCTTCCTCCACAAGCCCAGTAAGACAGTGCCATGCAGGACTCTGCTGCGGGCAGAGCCAGCAGCCTTCGGTGGACAGAGGCCTTCCCGACAAGCCCGGCAAGACAGGGCCATGAAAGACGCTGCTGCGGACAGAGCTAGCAGCCTTCGGTGGACAGAGGCCTCCTCGACACGGCCGGCCAAGACAGGGCCATGCAGGACGCTGCTGCGGGCAGAGCCAGCAGCCTTTCTATTGGAGGCTAGTGCATTTACACGCTCGTTGACTGAGTCTCGTTGAGTTCGTTTTCCACACCGTGTTCAATCTCTTAGTCGTCAGCGCGTCTATACAGCCGTCTTGCCGAAGCGGCGCCGCCGCTGCGGCTGTCGCCTGGAGATCCTGTCCACTGCAGTGGACTGCTGAACGCGGTCCCGTAATGCAAGTCGGCGGTGGCATAGCGTCGTTGTCCTACTCGCCAGGAGGGCGGCGGCTGGCTGGTCTGCAGCGTCGCTGCCGCCGATCCCACCGTCGGCTCCCCACGGCGTCCGTGCAGTCCCTGTCCGGCGCATGATCCCACCAGTCGTCCGTGGGTGCTGCATGCAGCCGCGATCTGAGAGCCTCCCGGACCTGGCCAGAATGCCGTGGGCCGGCCCATGAGCCGCTGCGTGGGTCCGGCGGCTGGCGCGTGGGCCGGCGCTGTCCGGCCGCTGACCCGCGAGTGCTCCGCCCCACTCCCGGGCACCGCCCGTCGAGACCGCGGAACGCCCTGCGTTGTTTGCCCTCCTCCCCGCCACCAAATACTCGAACGCTCTGGCGGCGCACAGAGTGTTTGCCGTGCGTCCCGCGCCTACTCCGGCCGACCCGGACTGCCCGCCGCCGCCGGCCTCTCGCGCCTCATCATACACGCATAATTTACGCATAAATTTACCGGCACCATGTCAGAGTTCGGGACCTGTCAGCCGGCAAATGAAAAAATCGCGAGCGCCAGCGGGGTGCGGCGGCCCGCTCCAAGGCCGCTGACGGCCCGCTTCCATTACATTCAATTTGGTATCATTACGACTGTCTCTAATGCCGTCAGAGCAGGACGAGGGGTCACCGCCGACGCCCCGGCCCTAATCAACAGCGAATCGAGTTCACGGCGGTGATTGACATCGGTGGCGAGCTGGCGCCATCGTCTCCATAGCTGGATTAGGGTGGAATATGACGGGAGAGAGCGTATGGCTTCGGTTCGTTGTACTGTTCGTTGTACGGCTCTTTCCTTCATTGTCTTTCTTTCTTTTGTGATCGGCGGGACAAGTACTCATATACAGAACATTGGATGCAGGCGCTTTGAAAGTATTTTTAGTTTTAAAGTTCTGAGACAAATTTCACAAAAACCTTTTAAGGTCCAATTTGCAAACCAGCTCAGTTTTACAGTCACAATTCACCATCGCAGATGATACCTTTCACTGAGAAAAGCAGGCATCGCAAACGATGCAAATTTCTCAGTCATTGCTAGATTGAACAAATATTGATATCAGAAGAGTGCAGCGCAAGTGACCTCGCTCCCTCGCTTTATCAGGGCGAAAATGGTGACAGGAAAGGAAGTCATTGCGGCCTAATCGCGAGGTGTTAAGTGTTAACAGGCCGGACAAGCCCTCAAGCGCTCAATGCTGGCAGGGATGCGAGGCGACTATGGATGTCTGAACATAATGAAGACCAAGTGCTTATTTCAGTGAATTTGCTGTCAAACTGCCTGGCTTCATCTCGACTTATCGTGTTTTTGTGAATGAAATGATTAATCAGACTATTGTCTTCTTCATCGGCGTCAGCTTACGCAACGTCTCGAACAGTAACTTACTCGACCGCCGTTAAGTGTTCGTTGGCCTTCAGAAGGACATCGCGCTATTTGGCGTAAAGCAGGGCCTAATATGTTAACGTGTTATCATGCTATCTGGGCCATCTTGTTATGTTATGGAGAGGATATATGTTATCTTAACAACATGCCATCTGTAGGGAAAGCCGCACCTGTGACCGCCTGGACGACCTCGCCTTTCAAAAACCACCAAAACGACAGCAGGGCACTTCAGATAGTATGGTGAAGAAGATCAGCGTGGACAATTTTATTCGATTGCATTTCATGCGGGAAGGGGGCATTCATTTTATTTATGAGCAAAATGTCCACATCAAGATGCAACTTGGCGCGCTATTTATTCGCCATGCGTGACCTTGTAAGCAAAACCTCGTGCGCAAATATTCTTATCGCATTTATTTGCAAACAAATCTTTGCACCCCAAGGTTCGTATGCATATCTTTGTATTGCAAATGTCCGTGCGCACATCTTCGTTCACAAATAAATGCATCCGCAAAACTTATTGCACTCAATTTTTTGTAACCGCTACTCTTGCAATACGCAACATCGCACATCGCATTTCCTCGCACGCGCATTTCTTCCATATGTTTCTCATTTTTAATGCATTTTTCATTTCGTCATAATGAGTTTATTCGCACATGCATCACTGACATCGTACTTCAACGTTTACGACGTTTTAAAGGCGTAATAGCCTAGTGGTTAATGCTTCGGGCTCCCATGTGGAGGGCCCGGGCTCGAATCCAGGCTGCGCAGTGGCCCCCGAGCGCTGATGTGGCCAATGAAGCCGCTGTCGTTCCACCGAAGGGGCGTGGCGGCGTGCGTCGGGTTCTGTTTTTTAAGTATATGCTGTTCTTCGTACCGCTTTTCTTCGCTTGCGCGATTCATCGCATCCAACTTTACCTAGCCCGATTTGTCGTATCGCATTTGCTCGTATCGAATTTATCTGTATGCGGTTTTCTCCATATGACATTTTGTTCGAGTACGCATTCGTTCATATGGAATACGTGGTGATAGGAGCGAAAAAGCCATAAGGGTCGACAGTTCATCAGCTCCACGCTTCTCATGCTTGTAATTCTCTGGTAAATTGAAAACGGCACGTTTATATGTGTACTTTTAGTTGTGATTTCAGTAAGTCAAGGTGATTTTAAAAGCGCGGCAGCAGCCAAAAAAGGAAACTTCCAAATTTGTTGGCCTGTGGGTCCCAGTGCTGATGACCCACGTGTTCCAAACGTGTTTACCTGGTGAATCGACTACGCTGCGTCCAATCGCTTTTTTGTTACAGTCAGACTGGATAAAGGATTTTAGCATGATAACGGACAGTATTATAAGTCTTGCCTTTATCAGTCCACTGGATCCAGAGCTATGACCTTCCCCATATCCGATTAAATGCACTAAAACACGTTCATACGCGTGCTTTGCATTGCAATCAAAGTAAAGAAAGCGCTTCTTTTTTGGCGCGACAGCATCTTAAGGTGAATGAATCTCAATTTTGTTCACCCATGACTTACGACGCTCATGACTCACGAGTTCCATACGTATTGACATTCGGTATACGAGCCACGCCGCTCAGAACGGTGCACTTTTTGTCATCATAGTATGGGCAGATGGGTGGGCGTTTAAGTATTTCAGCGCAGCCATAAAAATGGCTATTACACCACACACAAGCTCCAACTGTTACGAGTCAGAAGAGACGGTGAACCTCGTCTTGTCTTTGGGACAACAGGGCATCCCACTGATCACCTCTAAATGAAAGGCGCTCTCCGCCGCGGTATGCACGCATGCCTGCGCTCTGCACACTCGCACTCGACCCAATCTGCTTGCACACCAATTAGTCATCAGCGGAGTGTTTGCTGGCGCATACCCGCGCCGCATCCGCCGCCAGATAACACTGGTAAACACGCCGCATCTCCATGACAACGGCGACGTCACGTGTCCTCGGGCAGCCCACCTGCACGGCCGGCGTATGGAGATGGGGCGGGGCGGTGCGGTATGCCGGGCGGCCGGGCCCGCCGGCGCGGCGGCACGGGCCTCTCCCACGCCCCGGCGACGGCGGCCGGGCGAGCGCTGACCTGCCGGGGCTGGGCGGCGGCCGCGGGCGACAGCGTCGGCCCGGGCCGCGCGCCGCCGGCCGCCGCCGGCCGCCGGGCGGCCCCGCTGTTGTGACCACGCACAAAGCCGAGGCGGGACGGGTGCCAGAGTGAGAGGAGCTCTCTGGCCGCTCGCCGGACGGCCCGTGACAGCTCGCAGGTACAAACACTGGCAGGCTCGCAGATGCGCCTCACCGACATTCCGGCGACGCCTGTAGCACTGGATGAGTGGGGCTGAGGGCTGACTTGAATCGTATTCGCATCGGAACAACTTTAAATGTGGCGCCGGTCGGCCCTGCAAAGCTGCTTAAGCTTGGTCGTTTTCAGATGACAGGTTCCGGAACGGGATATGGGATGCACATCTGCGCTCGTCATCTTCACGTTTCTTTTTCCATACGTCGCTGTCCGTGATGCGAGGTAAGGGCGCTGTGCTGTGATAATCTTATGACACATCTTATCCTGCTCACTATTTTCGATTGACATATCTGCAGCTCACATAACATTTCCGGGCATTATTAACTGCCTCCATAGCGCTATGTTTTGTATTGGGCCTATCAAAACGCATTTGCTTGTTACTTAACATGTAAAATTATGTCCGGCATCTTATACCTTTTTTATTTACCAAACTTTTCCTCTTTCAGTTCCAATTTGTCACAAACATAGGACTGCATTATGGGACAGATAGAGGTTGTATGCCTCCCGATGGTGCTGGTTGACTATTCATGAACACTGAAGCCAGGACTTCGCTGGCCTCTAACCGTTGAAGGGTTTGCAGGAGGTGCCCTAGGCAACTCACCGCAGTGGCACGCAATAGTGGATGTAAATGGGGGAGGGGAGAGAACACGGCCCACTGCCTTTGGGGAAATCATATGCTTAGGAGCTTGCAATGCATTTGCACATCGCGACGGAAAGGGATATATCCCGGGGTAGACATTTCGTGCGCCGTAATTAAATAATCGCCGGGTCGTTCATCGATTCCCACGTTCCGCGGCACACATGTGTGCGATACCAGGGCCCAACCCCTAATTAACTAATAATACCCTGCACCGTCTCGAGATCTCAACCCTTCCCTAATCACACCCCTCCCGTCGGCGGACTGTATTTTTTTGTCGATATCAAAGCGTACCTAAACCGGAGTATTTACCCATGAAACTGCGGTAATAGATTATCTGCGCCCAGGCCCTCCCATGGGCTGTTTTTGTGCGGGCCGTGTCGAAAAGTTGCCATAAAGCGCTATGTCATATTGCATAAAAAGCGGTGCCAGCGATTTGTTACTGCGTGGCCCGTGACCCCTGGCGACTCGGGGTCGGCCACACGCTATGAGACTATGGCGCGTGCCGTTCATCACAGGTGAAAGCTCTCCCGCACCATACCGACAGGTGTGTGTCCGGCGGACCACGGTCTCCTGCTCCCAGGACAGGCGAAGGCTCTCCACACCATACCGACAGGTGTGTGGCCGCCGGACCGTGGTCTCTTGCTCCCATGACGGGCGAAGGCTCTACGCACCATACCGACAGGTGTGTGGCCGCCGGACCGTGGTATCTTGCTCCCATGACGGGCGAAGGCTCTACGCACCATACCGACAGGTGTGTGGTCGCCGGACCGTGGTCTCTTGCTCCCATGACGGGCGAAGGCTCTACGCACCATACCGACAGGTGTGTGGCCGCCGGACCGTGGTATCTTGCTCCCATGACGGGCGAAGGCTCTACGCACCATACCGACAGGTGTGTGGCCGCCGGACCGTGGTATCTTGCTCCCATGACAGGCGAAGGCTCTCCACACCATACCGACAGGCGTGTGGCCGCCGGACGGTGGTCTCTTGTTCCCATCATCCAGGGGTTGTCCAAAATCTGCAACTACTGTAGGGCGATTGCACATGACCACCGCCAGCCAGGCCGCCAGCAGTGACCATCAAATAGTCAAAATTGCAAAACTGCGCGTGCTAGTGTATCACATGAAAGTCGGGTAATAATGTATGCATGTGTGAACCGAAAGATGCTCCATTGCGCGCCTTTCGTAACGCCGCTTACAGAAGTGGCTGTTCTCATCACAGCATTGCTTCTGGTGTAGGATATGCTCTTATAGAGTGAATATTGTATACAATGAGGGCTCGTCAAAACGAAGGCACATTTATATGACCAGTAAGACGACTTGTAATGGTGGTGTTTGTGTGCCATTCCTGTTTGTTCGAGAGGGAAGAGAGAGAGAGAGAGAGAGAGAGAGAGAGAGAGAGAGAGAGAGAGAGAGAGAGAGAGAGAGAGAGAGAGAGAGAGAGAGAGAGAGAGAGAGAGAGAGAGAGAGAGAGAGAGAGAGAGAGAGAGATATATATATATATATATATATATGCATTTCTCTCTCTATCTCTCCATATATATATATATATATATATATATATATATATATATATATATGGCGTGAGGCTAATCACCGACGACTAGGCAATTCACTGCAGAATTTGTGGACTTAAGGGAGTTCGTCCTATCCTCTGGCTGCGTTGGCTAACCTCCGGACGACGGTCTTAAAAGTGTTCGGGGCCTTCGTCACTGCCATAATGCCCCATTTGTCTCCATGCTCGACCCCGATGACGCGTTTCCACTTGTTGTCTGGGTGCAGAATGGAAATGGGTGTTGTGCAGGGCAGTTTTAATTTTCCATCCACAGAGCTTAGAATGCTAGGCGCTATGTTGTTTACCTATGTGCCACTGCTGAAATGACTTTTCGCAAGCGACGTTCTCTATGTGGGGGCGTTGAAACGTTCTTCGTACGGTGCGGAGCCCGTGAGTCCTTTAAAAGGTTTGTTGCGTGCAAAATTAGACCCAGAGCTGCATCACTGCCGGCTGCAGCCGCATCAACAGCAGCAGCTGGTTCGTGCTGGCTGTGGACCGCGCCGATGATCCCGTTCCGTCCCGTGCTGGCTGTGGGACGCGCCGATGATCCCGTTCCGTCCCGTGCTGGCTGTGGGCCGCGCCGATGATCCCGTTTCGTCCCCTGCTGGCTGTGGGGTTTGCCGATGGCCCCGTTTCGTCCCCTGCTGGCTGTGGGCCGCGCCAATGATCCCGTTTCGTCCCCTGCTGGCTGTGGGCTGTGCCGATGGCCCCGTTTTGTCCTGTGCCGATTCGAAACCTCCGACGTCTGGTTATCAACACTCATGGGCGTTGGCAGCGGTTCAGAATCATCAAGCACAACACCAACAGGAGAAACCCAGGATGGCAACGCTCTATGGCAAATGGCAGCATTTTCCCGTCTGTAGCGTTGACATCACGAAGTAGCCGACGACTGCAGCCGTCTGTGTGGTCCGTGCAATTAATTTTATAGCTTAAAATCAGGCCTAACGATTTAATTGGCTGATTATGACTGCCATGATTGAAAAGAAGACACACCATGTTTTCCCAAGCACACCATAATTTTTAATAATGTCACACACGTATCATAAATCATGGAAACTTGTTACAGGAGTTCCGTAGTCCGTGGGTACCGCCATTGTTAGTTCCTACTGGCATGGAAAGCTATTTCTTGTCTCCTTTTGCTAAAAGCATGTTACCTTGCTAGTCGCCCGCGCAGACACCTTTTGTCTCTCCAATGCACAACAAGAAGGCTCCACCGCTGTCTGCCATTGTCATATATGTGCCTTTTAATGTAAGAAATGTGCCTATCACGCACGTCCAGATCTCGTTTAGCTTTGGCCTACTCAATTTATTTTATGTCATATCTTAAATGGGAGCGGTAAAGGCAAATTGGCAAACTGTTAACCGTTAATGGCGATCGATCGAAAAGAATCTGGCTGACTACTGTTTGAACCAAGCCCGGTCCAAGTCCTTGTTTTTGGCCACCCTTTGACCTGTCCCAGTGCACACCGTGACCTAATCTTGAATTCACGGACTGATGTCATGGGTGAGAGAGCTCCTGTCCTGTTTTAGGACTCTCTCATTAACCACCGTCCAAAAACAGAAGTTCTCATCCTCAGGTCGAGCGCAGCTCAAAACAACACACATGACCACCCCAATTTTACAAATCAATCGATCGCCGTCGTTAATATAGTTTCCAACTGATTGTGCCTCTCACCCGTCTATTCACCTTCTGTCTGCTGACAAATAACATGCGCTATCTCTTCCAGTCTCACATACTGTGAGCTGCGTTGAATACCAGCGAACAGTAAGCATGTTCACGCATTTTCTCCTACTCGCTCATGTTCATACAGCCTGAAATGGTTCGGCAAAACATGTCATCAGATCTTTGGGTCGCGTGGAAAGTATCGAGGTTTCCCTGTCCCAGACAGCTTTCCAGGTATTTTGTCGCTACTGGTCACCACGCATTACACGTTGGTGTCTACGAGCAGCCTTCTGTCGATTCCAGTAGAAAAATGTGTGTGCGACATCCACGCTGAATGTAAGCACATTAATAAAAGATAACTCTCCGTCCCACATCCACGCACATACTACAGGCCTTCACTGACCCTCTGCCAAAACCAAAATTTGCATAACTGAACGATTAGCCATTCCGACGGTGTCAATGATTTCCTCTCGAATATGCAAACGTCTGCATATAAATTTGGCAGTCCAACGCTCACACGATTTATAACATGGAGAGAACGCAGAGTGGGGAAGTGATATCCTTCGTAAGTCATGCAGCTAACTGTATCCTCTAAGATAAATGATAACCCCTGCGGATACTCGCGCTGGAGAGAGCTCGGACGTCACGCTAAATTGTAATTGGACACCTTTACCAGGCCTGCAGGTGGGAAGGTACGCTGAGAAAGGTAGAATAGGATCATAACTCGCCGCAAGACACCAGCTAGCCACAGCGTTGCCGTACCAAAGCACTAAAGAGCGATGAGTGAGTCCATAGTGGTCGGGAAGGGCGCTTTTAATAGAGCACATTGCGGCAGGCAACATATTTTCATGAATGATACAGCGAATTACCCAATGGGAAACCTATTGGTTTTGTTTAATTCGCTGTGTGCTCACCAACAACGCATGTTCATCTTTCCTTTTGTTTCTAATCCAATTCATCCGATGCCTCCACTTTGATTCTTCCAATAGGTATTCGATTAGGGGGCCTGCAATCGGGTACTTGATCAG